CCCCCGTCGGCTCTGCTCCTGGGCGGAGCTTACCTGTAGCGGGAGCACCACCAGGGCCACGCAGATCATGATGACCACCAGCAGCTGGGACGGCCAGATCTTGGGCGTCACGTCCCCGTAGCCCACGGTGGAGAAGGTGACGATGCAGAAGTAGAAGGACGTCAGGAGGGACAGGTTGTCACCCGCACGCTCCAGATGCTGGATGCCGCAGGTCCTAGAGCCGGGGAGGGGCGGCGGTGGGGCTTCAGCCACCCAGCTCCCAGAGCGAGGCTCTCCCTGCCTGTGGCTCCTTGTCCGTCGTCACCCACACAGACCCCAGCCTGGGCCTGAGTCCAGCCGGCCGACAGAGCTGGCACACCCAGCACGTCCCTCCTACCCGACCTTCCTTTCTGGCCCCGAGGCTCCTTTGAGGCCCTTGGAAAACTGGCCGTGAGCGTGGACACAGCCCTGCGTGGGCTCAGTGTGAGCTTGAGGTCTGAGGGGGCGGATGTGGCCACCCAGGCTGTGAGCCCCACCTGCAGCCCACTCAGAGCCTCATCCTCACCCAGGGGTCAGACACATGGGGCACACGCAGCCCCCTGCCCTGCACAGAGCTGGACCGGCCTCCTTGCCACTCCCGTGGCCCCATGTTCTGTCCCCAGGTGGGGAGGCGCTGCTGGCAGGGCCTGGGGGCCCACAGTGCACACACGTGGCAGCACGCAGGGACCCTCCCCAGCGGACACGCTGGCTGAGGGGAGGGGGTGGGCTGAATCACCCTGGAGCTTCCCACCCTGCAGACACCCCAGCCTGCTCCACTCAGGTCTGTGTGTTTTTTTTGGCAGGGGGGAGGGAGGGTAGGAGGCACGTGGCCTTGGGGCCTGCCCTGTCCTGGCCTGGGGCAGGCATGCAGGGGGACGGGGTCTCCCCTCCAGGCCCCCCACCTCTCACTCTGGCGGCTCCCAGACCTTATTCTCAGCTAGGCCTTGAGCCCAGGGTCCCCACCCGGCCGAGAGCCGGTGCCCTCCCCACGCCGCGTCCTGGACCCCGGAGGAGTCCCCTGGAGGAGCTGGACTTGGGCAGCTCTGGTCTGGAACGTGGGGTCCAAGCTGCCTCCTGGCCTTCCGTCCCGGTCGGGCTGCCTCCTGCCACCCTGAGGTCCGCCCGGCCTCTTGGATGCGAGGGCCCGGCCCTGCCCGGGACGGGCAGGCGGCCGCCTGCAGGGACTCACCCCGTGAAGACCAGGCACAGCAGGGTGCAGAAGAGGATGAGGACCTGGTTGAACATGGCCGACTGCGAGCGCAGGATGGCGCGGTGGAAGTCGTTCTGCGGGGTGGGACGCGGCGCTCAGCCTGGGCGGGACGGAGCCCAGGGCCCTTCCCGCCGCAGGTCCCGGACACACACAGGTGAGAGAGAAGGGGAAGGGCTCCATCCGGCCTCAGCTCTCTTGCTCCCGCCATGTATAGGCCAGAGGCCGTGACCTCAGCCCTGACCCCGCCCTTCGCAGCTGGGTTTGGGGGGGTGGTGAGACAAGGCCTGGGCTGGTAGGTGTGTGGCGAGGGGCTCCCTGGGAGGAAATGGTCCTTGCTCAGCACAGGGGCTGCCCGTGACCCTGGGTCTCAGGGCCCACCCAATCTCACGTGTATGTTCACCCTCTTCCTCCCCAGCCATGATTCCGGGGTCAGGGACAAGCCGGGGTGACTGTTCCCGGGGCATCAGGGATGGGGCTCCGGCCAGTCAGGAACAGGCGTGAGGGCATCTCGTGGTGACAGACACGTGTGTCCGCTGCTCACCCGGCCTCCTGGGCACCAAGGGAGCAGGCCAGCTCCCCCCAGGACCAGGGCATGGCAAGTGGTGCCCTGGGGTCCTGGGGAACCTCACAGAGGTGAGGCAGTGGTGGGGGCGGGGTGCAGGGGGTGGGGGCTTACAATCATGTTCTCCAGGGCGTGCTTGGCCAGCCAGCAGTTCAGAAACACGGGGATGAACAGGTTCCGCAGCGGCGGCCAGAATATCTGCGGAGGAGACGGGTCAGGGGGCGGGGGTCTCGGCAGCCCCCGCCTCGGCCGGCGGCTCACCCACCGTGATGATGAAGGGCAGCGTGTTGATCATCTCCAGGATGAAGGACACGCGGAAGATCTGCTCCCAGATGTTGCCCTGGGGAGCCAAGGGGGTGGGCTTCAGAGCGGATGGCAGGGAGGGGGCACTGGGGTGGGGTGGGNATCCCAGGCTGCTCCTTGAGCTGGACAGTGGGCGGCAGCCTTGCCCTCCAGGGGCTGAGAGCAGGAGGGGAAGGGTGGTTCCTCCAGAAAGGAGGCCTCGGGGAGGGGCCTGTGAGACCAGGGCCTGAGCAGGCTGCTCTGGGGAGAGGCCTGGCGGCCCCAGGCGGCCACTGTTTCTCATCCAGGTTCCTGTGCCCTGCAGGGGGGCTGTGCTGGTCGTCCATGCTCTCGGGTTTCCTGACCTCAGGTCCTTCCTCGACTATAACCCACGTGGCACCCTTGAGGGGACTGACATGGGGGAGAGGGCGTCCCTGCCCAGACGCAGCCTCTGGACAATGGTTGGGGTGAGACCAGCAGGAGGGGCCAGACGGCTGAGCTACGCGCTGACCCTGCCCACCCTCCCCAGGCACAGACGGCCAAGGCCTGACCCTCGGGGGCCCCAGCTGCAGCCGGGTCTCGGGTAGTGACTTTCTCCACCAAAGGACAGACTGAAAGCCCCAGGCCTTCCTTTGGGCGGGAGTCGGGCTGGGCTCAGAAGCTGCCCTGCCCCCACTGGGCCAGAAAGGAAGGGCTTCCAGGGCCTGGTGTGAAGGGAGGACTGGCGTGTCCCTACGTGTCCCTGCGATCCTGATCCTCTTGCCTCCCAGGGACAGGTGACCGGGCTGGGAAGAGTGGCCGGGGCTTGGCAGATCCATCCTGCTGCTGTGGAGCGCCAGGACTGACCCGCAAGGCTGGGCCGGGGTGCCAGGGGAGGGGCGTGGGTGAGGGAGTAAGGCCGAGAGGGGGCTGTGGGTGTGGGGAGGCTGGAAGGGAGATGCCTCCATCAGGGAGGTGGCCAAGGCCCTGGAGCTCGTCCTAACCTTCGGCCCAGGCGCCCCCGCCGCTCTGGGGGCACCTCTCACTGCCTGACCGTGGCATCTGCTCTCTTTGGCCGAAGGCTCATGGATCGCAGAGGCCACGGCCGACCCTCTGGCAGGTCCTGCCTGTCTGTCTCCTCTCACCCAGGGCCCCTGGGGCTGGAGGGCATCACAGAAGGGCGCTGGGCCAAGCCGGCTCCTGGTGACACCTGCTGTCAGCCTTAGGTTGCTCCCAGGGGCTCAGGGGCTGTACCCCACGGGGCCACCCCAGTGTTCTTACTGCTCGGCCAGGTCCCGGGGATCCCAGGAGGCTCTCTGGCTGTGACTGGGCATCTGTCCCGGGGGCCTGGGCAGCGTCACCCTCTGGCCACCCTGCCCTGCCGCGGACCTCTGAGCGGGAGCTGGGAGGCACACTCACCAGTTGATCTCGGAGGACGACTCATTGAAGGTGTAATTCTGCTTCGGGCAGCCCCAGCTGTGGAGAGACAGAGCTGGCCGCCGCAGCCCCTCCCGGCACCGCCCCCAAAGGGACCAGACCCTTCCAGGGCTGCGACGGGCTCAGGGCGTGTGGGGAGCACTCTCCCCAACCCAGGGCCAGGCCCCACATCTCAGATGGGCATCTGAATTCTAACACTAAGCCTGTTCCCAACCCGCAGAGGCTGTAGGAAAGGTCTCAGGAGAATCTCTGAGGAGGAGGGGCAGGGGAGGGGTCTCTGGGGAAGAGGGTCTCTGGGGAGGAGGGTCTCTGAGGAGGGGGGCAGGGGATCAAGGCCATCCCCAAGGGAAAGAAATGCAAAAAGGCAAAATGGTTGTCTGAGGAGGCCTCATAAATAGCTAAGAAGAGATGTGAAAGGCAAAGGAGAAAAGGAAAGATATAGCCATTTGAACACAGAGTTCCAAAGAATAACAAGGAGAGATAAGAAAACCTTCCTCAGTGATCAATGCAAAGATATAGAGGAACACAATAGAATGGGAAAGATTAAAGAGCTCTTCAAGAAAATTAGAGATACCAAGGGAACATTTCATGCAAAGATGGGCTCAATAAAGGACAGAAATGGTCGGGACTTAACAGAAGCATAAGATATTAAGAAGAGGTGGCAAGAATACACAGAAGAACTGCACAAAAAAGATCTTCACGACCCAGATAATCACGATGGTGTGATCACTCACCTAGAGCCAGACATCCTGCAGTGAGAAGTCAAGTGGGCCTTAGAAAGCATCACTGCAAACAAAGCTAGTGGAGGTGATGGAATTCCAGCTGAGCTATTTCAAATCCTGAAAGATGATGCTGTGAAAGTGCTGCACTCAACATGCCAGCAAATTTGGAAAAC